GACGCCGCCGCCTTAACGGGGAACCTTTCAGAGATTTCTCTTCTCGGTTTTGAAATTGTCTGGTGAGTTCGTCCGATTGTAAGCGGGACTGGACATCTTGTCTGAGACGTTTACGTATTTTTCCCAACATCTGTTGTCTATTGTCGCGTGCTGACGGTTCGTTGTCGGGATGGGCGCCGGGTTCTCGATTCCACCGTCTGAGAGTCTTTTTCGCGCGGCCGCTCGGTCGTGCCGAGGCCCCCACCGCAGAACGGGCAGTGTCCACGCGGCACGCTGGGGGCCCCCCTCGCCGCGCGCGCATCGCTGCGACGGCGTGGTTCGCGCTCGATCCCCCGCAGTGGCACAGCGGTGACATCCGCCCGGCCCTCTCACACGCGAGGGTCGGTGCCGCCGTGCTCTCCAGGGGATCAGCGCGGACAATCGAAGCGCAAACGCCAACTCCGGGGCGACCCTGAGCGCCATGAGCGAGGGGTGGGGGGGGGGGCACTGCCCGGCCTCTGGCTTGGACAGCCCCTGTCTAGGCTCAGGAGGCGGCATCGGATTTTTCCTGCGTCTCCCCGGGGGGAGGGGGGCGGTGGGGGGGCAGGAACCCGGGACCTCTGTGGCCTGTTGGCTCAATACTCTGACATCGCGAGTTAGCCCGCTGAGCCCATTGAGCCCCCTCCCCCCCCCCCCCCCCCCCCCTCTCTCGCCACATTTTCGAATTGAATAGTGTGTTTATACACGGCAAAGTAACCGAGTTTTTGCTGTTGTCTTTAATTATCCGATCCGTGTGACCGCATGGCATGATAATCGTTTTGCTATTAAGTCAGCGCGATTTTAAATGTGCAGTTCCTCCGCTTTCAGTCTGCTCATAGCTGACCACGAGAAAAAAAGGACTGGAGGGACGTTAAAGAGGGCATTGGCCCAGCCGAATGGTGCAGTGGCCAGAGGACGTGACTCACAACCGGAGATCCACTCGGCCCATCAACCCTTTGAAGCCACTCTGTGGGATGGCAGCAGTACTGAGAATAGACTTTCCCCAACCAGAGGATAGTGGAATTTCTGACACCTGCTCAGAGCTGTGAGTAGGAAATGAGCACCTTTGCAATGCTTGCTTGATCGGGAGTGGACTTTGACTTTAGCTCAGGAAACTCCTAGGGCATCTGAGATGTCAAGAGATCTCTGGGGGCGGTGAGGCGTTGTTAGGAGGCGATGAGGTCCTGTGACCCAAGTGGACGACACGGTCTTTAAACAGCCTCAGGCTCCCTGTCGGTCTTATTGGATTTTTTAAATTAATCAGTTAATGAGACCACAGTGCGCAATGGGCGCGGGGTGTTGAAGTAAATTAACACTCTTCTGCAGCGTGGGTCGGTTCGCGAGAAAGAGAGGACCGGCGAATGTCAACTTGTCAGTGCAAGCTCTTCCCCTCCCCGCCGCTGGGAACGCGACATTTAATCCCTCACCATCTAAACTCGGGAAGTTACGAGTTCACTCGACGTTCAAAGTCAAACAGAGAAACTGAAACAAAGGGACTTTGTTCATGCTGGAAACTCCAGCAGCCTTCGGCCCGAGCACGGCACTCACAACGCAATCTCGTGGCCATGTGGAGGGAGACGACTTGCCAATCACGCGCACGGGTATCGCGCATGTGATGTGCAGGGGTGACGTGGGCAGACGATGTGCTGCTGCTGCTGCTGCCCTGAGTGAGGTCAAGCTCTACCCTCTGCGCGCGCCTGCTGCTCGCCGTCTCGTGATATCTCTTAAAGTGGCGGCTGATAGCGCGCCGTGGAGGTGCGCGGGCGCTTGGCAAGGACGATGCGTTGCATCCCCTAGCTCCGCTGAACGGATTCTGCGCGGCGCCTTACTCGAGCGCTTCTCGTTTGCCCATCGACCAATGATCTCGTGACCCTACCGGTAACCGGTGCAGCCCCTCTCTCTGTGGCAGGTTGACTTACTGCCGACTTCTCTGCAGTGGGGGCAACGGAAGCGGCGTGTCCTGCGCCGCGTGGCGTGTTGTGCGTCGTGACGAGGAGCGCTCTGCGAGGCTGCCCCCCCTCCATCCCCTATATCTGCGTGACATCTGTGAAAAGAGCTTCATAAGCTCGTGCTATTTCTCCAGTATAAATAAATATTCCGATTCTGCGTAAGCTCAACGCGGTGGCAGCTCTCGACGGAGGAGGCCGCGTGGCAACTGAGTCGGCGATGGTGGCCACGGTGTTATCGATTTCTCAGATTCCTGACGTTGCCTGGATGATGCATATTGCTGCCCGGTGTTTTTAACCACTTTTGCCACGTGCACCATTCAAGAGAGAGCACGGTTTTAATGGGCTGCGTAAAGGAACGAAGACTCAACCCCGCAGACTGAACAAGACCGCGCGCAGTGTGCACCATCATGGCAACTGCACTCATCTGGTTTTGATCCACTGCTGTTTAATGCCCTCTGCTGCTGATGGGAAGGGACCTTCACGAACACCGCTTGGCTCATCCCTGTGCCGTGCGATTAAAGCAGAGATGCCGTGCTGAGAACGCACGCGCGGTCGTTTTGAATCGGCTCTGGGATTTCTTGAAGCCGCGGACGGTGCTGGAGCGCGAAAGCCACAATTATCAGCGAGCGGCCGTTCCAGTTGGCGTCCGTACCCTTTCACCCTCCGTCTCGCCTTGGCTAATTTGAGCTCGTGGCAGCCTTGATGCGCGTGTGACTAAACGGCATGAAAGCCTCACCTCTGCACGGCCAATTAATCCTCGCGTAATCCTCGTCCTGCCACGCAGCATATTCACAGAGCGGCAGCCAGCACCGCCAACCCCGGTCTCCTCCACAATTTTGGATTCACTCGGCGCCCACAAACAAGCATCTTTAGTTGCTCGAGCGCATGCATTTAAAATCGAAAGATTAAATACACTATTACGCTCGTATGATCACGCAACAACAAACTCGCCCGTGCTTTGTTCCCGCGAACTGAATAGATTCTTTGTGCACGCGCATTTTCACACATTTGTGAGCAATTTACAGCTCGCTATTGCGGTAACTCTTCCTGCACGTGCTCTGCGGGCCACTGCTGCTCCGCACGCCCGCAAGAAGCGCTTTCGCACGGGTTGTGTTACCGCACGGTGTGTCGTCCGCGAACATGTTTTACAGTTCGCAGTGGTCTGTGGGGTCCGCAGACAGGTTGGGAACCACTGTTCTAGGCCATTACCGCCCTCAGAGTCAAGGTCCACCCAGGCCACGAGTGCCGCCACCCCCCCCCCCCCCACTCTCGACTTCAACTCACCCTCACTTCGTCTCCCGGGCCGTGCGAGCGCAGCAACCCGCGATGCCGCCGTGGCGACGGTGTCGTCTTTGAGCGGCCGAGCAGCGCTAACGTTCCCTCCCACCTCACGCCGCCGCCGCCGCTGCGCTCGCTTGATGAATTACCAGGCGAAGAGCCGACAGGCAGAATGACTGATGACGGCTAAAAACGAGATATAATCCAGGCGGTGCAGGCAGATGGAAAATTGTAAGGGCCTCGTTCAAGGAATGCGCGTGCATTTTTTTTTATATCTGTTTCATAAAAGAAAAATTACCGGTGACGGGAGGAGAGCGCTTGAGGTCCAGGCGCCAGTGGAGAAACGGCACGCGGAGGGTGCGTGGTGTCAGTCAGGCACCGTGGCTGTTTACAGTGCGTGCTCGCTCACCGCCCTCTCTGCTGTTTATTTCTTAATCAGCAAGGAGTGTGGTGTTTTTCTTTGTTTGTATTCCAGGCATTATTACGAGGCGCCCTGAGCAACCGCAGCAATTGTCATCAATCGCCGCGCTCGCGGAAGGCACTCAGGCCGCGTGCGTCTCGTTGGCGACGTCATATAAACGCGTGGATTTTGTGTTTATGCTGCACCGAGGATAAAATTAATGTCGTCCCAGCGCCACTGTCTATTATTACATTTCCCAATGTGCAAGCAATGACATTCGGGGTTGGGCAGTTGCTTAGCAGCCAGCGCGAGGTCAAGCCGCATGCCGCACTAGCGGCACGCTCACACTCGGCAGCCTCGGCCTCAGTCGCCCAGGGGGCCTCCAGCCTCAGGTGGCCAGGGGCCTCCGGCTTTGGGTGGCCAGGGGGCCTCCAGCCTCAACCACCCAGAGGGGCTTCAGCTTTTGGTGGCCAGGGGGCCTCCAGCCTCAATCGCTCGGGGCCTCCAGCCTTCGGTGGCCAGGGGGCTTCCAGCCTCAATCGCCGAGGGGGCCTGCAGCCTCGGGTGGCTAGAGAGCCTCCAGCCCTCATCGCCTCGGGGACCTTCAGCCTGGGGTGGCCAGGGGGCCCCCAGCAAGCCAAATGGGCGCCGTGCACTCCGGCGCGAAGGTCACGGGCCACCAATCACTGAGCTCACCGGGGTGACGTTGACGGGTGACTTGGGGGACCGGGCTCAATGCGAGTTGCAGGCCAGAGCAGCTCCACTGCCAAGAGTCGCAGCCAAAAAAGTCCGAGCTCATTTCTTTTGTTAGCGTTCAAAGTTAATGAGGGCCGAGGGGAGCAACGATCCGGTGGTCCCAGGATGGCACCTGGTGGCCCCGTGTCTGGGCGTGTGGTGACAGCAGAACGACCTCCCTTGGCCAGGCTGCGCCCGATGACACAGACGTCCATCAGCGGCTGGCAAATGCAAGGCACCATGGTGCCAGAGTCTCAGGTTACACATGCGGGTCACAACCAAATGCGTCTCTGTGTGTATACGTGGGTATTAATTTCCCCACTAAAAATGTGCCTGCCTGCCTGCGTGCGTGCGTGCGTGTCTCTGTGCGGGCGTGCGCGGGTTTGGATCTGTACGCGTGGTTGTCTGCCGCATCCCTGCACGTGCGTGCATGCCCTCTTGTCGCCGTACGTGCGTGGATGTCTGTGCGCGTGTCTTTGGGTGCGCGTGTGGGAACATCTGTTGGTTTGCGTGCGTGTGTGTACGCGTCAGCGCGTGTGTGTTCCTGTGCTTGTGCGTACGTGCGCTTGTGCGTGGGTGTGCCCGGCCCCGCCTGCGCGTGCGTGGCCCTGGTGTGGCAGGGAGCCCGTGCCCAGCCGGACCCCTGCACGCGCCGCACGTCATGCAGCCCACCCTGAGCCTCAAGCCCTTCCTGCCGTTCCCCCTGGAGGCGGCCGCCACGCACACCCACGCCCTGCGCCTCTTCTCCGCCTTCCCGGCCGTGAGTTACCGCTCGCCTTCCGCGCGCTCTGCGTCGGCGCCATCGTGTGACGTGGGACAGCACGGGAGGGGCGGTTTTTGCGGCGGGGTAAAGCGGCGGTGCCGAACGGGACAGAGGCAGTGCCCGGTACCGGGCAGCCGGTGATCTCTCTCATCACCGTTGCGGTCATGGCCTAGATTCACCCGGCCGCACGAGGTGTGCCGCGGTGATGGGAACCCTCTGCACCGCGGCTTTACTGCCGGAGCTAGGACAACGCAGACCAGCAGAAGTGCGGGTAAAGAGCGGGCAGCCGAATGGGGCCTGTGACCCGATGGGGAGCTGCCACGGTTTTTAACGAGGGGAGCTGCTGCCATAATAATCTTGGTTCGTGAAATGCACTCCCGAATTTGATCACCTGAAGTCTGTGGTAGAATTCAGATGTCCTCGAAGTGGATTCTCGAGGACGTCACTTGCAAGCACACGTGCTTGGCTTGCATAAAAAAAAAAACTCCATCCCCGTACATTCTGAAACTTTTCAGTGGAGGCATCTTGTGTATTAACCGCGTGAAGCCGTATTAATATGTGGTCGGCGCGGTGATTCATGCACTGCACTGTGACCTCAGCAATGCTGGCCACAGCCAGTATCAGCGGTGAGTAATATCCAAATCCATCCAAACAACCCCCCTTCATCAGCCCATGCTGACCAACATGGTGAAGTATGGTCGAACGTCCTCAAGGACTAACGCGGTGCGGAGGGGAACGTCATGAATTGGTGAATTGACAACTGTCATTCATTATACAATTCGTTAATTGCCATTAGGCTCTTTTAATGGAGCCGTTCTTTCCAGTTTTTCTTTGAACCCTGGTCTCACTGGCGAGAGTCTCCAGGTTTCAATGAGCTCCTGCATTGTTATAAATACACATGATCTAACCGCCCGGGGCTATGGGCGCGTCAGCCCCGCGGTTGAATTCTCACATCCAAGTGTGTTAATAATTGCAAAAAACATTTTAAAAAAAACGCGCAAACACTTTCCTCGCTTTCACTGCTTGTGGCCCATGCCAGTGTTGACAGAGAGAATGAGCGCCGCCGTGCGTCTCCTCGTTTAACACCAGGGCCCGGCGCTAACCCAGTGCCCCCGGTGAACGTATTTCACTTTCGTACGTCGGCGCCGACGCATTTCGCACCACGCCTGTTACCAGCGTTCGCCCCCCCCCCCACTCCCCCTCCGTTGCTTTATCGATGTGCACATGGATTCCGTGACGCTTTCCCAACACACGTTTTGTCTTGAACAGTATATAATTAGCTGCATGTATGTATGTATGGTTAACTTCTTTTTCACCGTATGTAGCCAATCGTGCTAATCGGAGGTGCGGGGGAAGGACAACAAACTAAACACAAAAAGCAGCTTTCAAGAAATTTGTTTTCAGCAACACTGCAAATAGCTCATATTCTTAGCTCTTTCGGTAAAGTCACGTTGAAGGGAAACAATAACGTGACTTTACCGAAAGCGCTAAGAATATGAATTATTGTAGTCACGAAAGCTTTAAATCAATGTGCAAATAGCATTTAGTATATTTGCAAATGCATTGCGGTCTCAAACTTTTTTTCAGCGACGCTGTGGTCAACGAGGACGAAACTTCCGAATAGCAATGCCGCTTTATACTCGACGTTCGTACACGCCAGGTCATCTTCACAACGGTTCCAGAGTCCCCCCCCCCCCCCCCCCCCCGTTACTGGGCGGGCAGACGGACAGGGCTTTAAACCTTGGTCGGAAAGCTTTAAAAGGTAACCTGAACCTCACCCCTAGCTTTTAACCCGAGCCCCTATCCCTGGCATTCCACAGGGCAGTCTGCAGACGGCGCTTGCTGTCAGAGGTAATCTGTGCACGGGCGCGTCCGTCAGGCAGCAGCCAACCCGACCCTCCACGTGGGACCTCGTGCAAATCGGTCTCAACGTGCATCTTCCACGGCTAAGCTCGAGCCGTCTCTACCCGTCCTCCCCCGCCCCCACCCTCCCCTCGTGAGCGTCGTGGCCTCTGTTTTTTAACAGAGCTGGCTGCAGCGTTCCGTTTAACCCCTCGGGGTATAGCGTGCGCCCGTCTTGGCCCGCGCGGCGTGTTGACGCGCCGCGTTTCGGGCCGAGCAGCCGAGCCCCGTGCCGCTGCCGTGTCAGCTCCGGCGCATTGTCGCGCGAGGGAGCGCCGTCGCCCCGTGTCGGATAAATATAAAGAATAAAAACTCAAGGGGTTGGGCTTGTGCCGTCTGCTGACATAACGCACCTCAGTTTGGGAGGGCCGTCAATTATTCTTCTTCTTCTTCCCAATATTTGGGGATGGATGGGAAGCAGCCATATGCTTTGCCTTCTTAATTAAGAGCCTACGCGGGTCCCCATGGCCACTTCTCCCCCCCCCCCGCCCCTCAACTTAACAAGTGTTCATCCACACCTGGATACCCATTGATTACTCATCGCCCACCTGTTGTGATTCATTTACATCCTGAATGTCAACAGTGGTGTACCTGCTATGTTTCTAATCCCTCAGCAACTTCCGAGGGCGCCCGTGCATTCGCTTTTGATGACAACATCTATCCCGAAAGGTAGAGAACGAATTTAAACGCAGGGAGGCGAAGGAGAGTTGTGGTGGCTGAGCTGGCCGCTGAGTGGGCCTGTGTCCGGGCCTTTGATCACCCGGGCCACGTTACGCTGCCCCCCCCCCCACCTCCATCACTTTTCCACTCCGGCGTCACCAATTCCCCCCGCTCGTGGTTTCGCCGACTGCCGAGCGATGCGGTTTGCAGAAACTGGAAACATTCGCGCCGCTTTGTTTACAACGCCGCAGCCTCGCGAGTGGCACCCCGTGCCCTGGCACATGCCCTGGCACATACCGTGGAACAAAGCGCGCGTGCCGCGGTGTCCTGTAGAGGCACCGACTCTCTCTCTCTCTCTCCGTGCCAATCACACGGGAGCAGTGTTGTGCTGCTGCCAATGCATTAAATCCTCTGGCTGTTTTTAATATCTTGGTTTACCCCTGTGCCTCTCCGTAACTCTGTATTTGAATTCATAACCCGCTGCATTAGTCCCGCTATCCATTCAGTGCACGTGTCCGTGCCATCCTAATCTTGTTCGAACCACTCTGTCTGAAATTGCTTCCAGGACTAATCACTTCCTAATGTTCCCCCGTAATGTATCCTTCCTCAACGCTGCCGGGCCTTGTTTACTGCTCTCGTTGTGGGTAGGGCCCCGCATCGCTCGCGAGAGATTCCAACCCTCGCTCAGCGACCGCACCTCCCCCGCCCCCCTCACCACCACGACATAAATCAACCCCGATCCAATCAACCCTTTTCAGCCACCTCGCCTCGCTTTGTTACCCCATTTTTACACCCGACACCGCCGGAGCCACCCGTTTAGAAAGCACTTATGCCTCTTGAATCTAGTGCGTGCCGCTTACGGCAATCAAAGATCGCTGGAGAGCGGCGCCGTTGCCGGACGCAAACGGTGCTATTGTTGCGCCTGCAAACGCGCCCTTGAATGGCGCAGCCCGACGCGGGTAATTCGCACGCCATCTTCAAGTCGCTGCGTGCTCTTTAGAGCTTGTTAACACGTATTAATTGCGCAGCGGTTGGCGTTAACGGCGTAATTATCCCAACCTCGACCCTATTCGAACCGCGGCGCCGGGAGGTGCGTGGCGTGTGACCACCAGTGTCACGTGGTTGCGACCGCAACAGAGTAATGGACGGCAGAGAAACAATCTGACGGCGCGTGGAGGCAACCATGCCCGGCGATCGGTGGCAAGCGCGCCACGCGGTCTCTCCCACGAGGGCACGGGGCATTTCCGCGCGATTACGGTGACATCGCGTTCATCACGGGAGTCTCCGCCGTTGCAGGCAGGCACGGTGTCCGATTCTGGAACCCGGTCAATATTTCCCGATGCCACTAATGCCGAGCATGGATTGCGCGTCGTTGGGACATCGTCTTCCATCAGTTCAGATTAAATCCGGCCGCTTAACAAAAGAAACATTTGTCATCCGGACGGTTTTAATGTCCCGTTTTGGCCCTGAATTATAATCGCCGAGGCCGCCTTTGAAGAATGACGGGAATGTGTGGAGCTGTCTGCGACGGCAATAAAATAAAATAAACCCACCGAGATATATCTGGTGTCAGGCGCAGCCAGCTGACTTATGTCTTTGATTCCCATCGCCTGCCCTTTTTAAAAGCACTTATGTACATACCACCTGATAAAGTGGCGATTTGATAGGAGCAATGGAGACCGTCACTGCACAAACATGGAAACAGACAGCACGCGGATCGGAGCGGCAATAACGCCGATTTGTTCCGGTGGGTGATTCAGAGCCCAGCGACCCAGGTACAGTAAAGTAGCCACAAGGAGACCGAGTTTGTTTGGTAATTGACCCCAACACAGACCATAGCAGCACCAGGCCTTTAGCTTTGTGTTTCTGCGGCCGTCCGGAACGCTGTTCTGATATTAATAAGCCACTGGAGCTATGCACTTTTAGTTCTAGATTGAAAACGAATTTCTTTAGAATTGCTTTTATGTTTAGTTTGTTGTCCTTCCCCCGCACATCCCATTAGCATGGTTGGCTACGTACGGTGCGAAAGAAGTTCAACATACATACAGGCCACATCTACTAGGTGTGTCTGCTGTATCTGCTTTGTGCCGTATGCGCTATGTATGCTGAATGTATGTCTGCCCTATGTGCTGTGCCTGACAATGCATCAACACAGCCGTATCAAGGCTCGCACAGCGTGTGGTAACCTCGGTGTAATTTGTAGAAGCGGGTACCCGCACCAAATGGCCGGTGCAATGCCTTGCGGTGCATCTCCCATCCCGGGAAACGGTTGCCTCCTCCTTCACGATCGCAGGAGAAGCCGGTGGGCGAGAGGTCGGCGCGCGCCTCGTAAAGCAGCTCCCAATCTGCTGAAGGAACCGTGGTCTGCGAACGTCTCTCTGAGGCAGGATGCGATTGAGCGACGGGGGGGGGGGGGGGGGGTGTGGCGGAGAGGG